CACAAGAAATGATAAATGGGGAGTTATGCAACTTTTGACAGCTTCCCAGTTTCAATCTCTCGTTCTTGGGAAGTCTCACCGCACATGCTTCTGCTTAGGTTAACCCACACTGATCTCCACCATCCTCATTCAAACAACCATAACTAAGACACAGGCAGACCTCTTCTGAATCCAACACCAAGCCATCAGCCAAAGAGCCTTTCCTTTGAGTTGTCTTCCAATGTAGGGAGTCGCGACACTGTATTCACACACCCTGTCTGTCCTGATTCTGTGCCCTGGTATTACTAGGAGAAAGAATAATGAGAGAACTACTAGGGATGGTAATGCACTAACAACAGCCCTGTTGACTATGCGCCCCATGTGTTTTTGAAGCACTTCACATAAATCATATTATCAACAATCCTAGAAGAAAGAATCCTTATTGTACACCCAGGGAAAGCGAAGCTGTGAGAGCTAAGGAGCATTTAGCACTGACATTTGAAACCCCAGTCTGATAAGACTTCTCTCCTCCCAATCTCCTCCCCCTGCATCCTATGCCAACTTTTAGGGCATCCATGCTTCATATTTCTTATGAAGATTTGGGTCCACAGAACAGGTTCTAAACTGCCTGGGAGTCATGCCTTTGTCTGTGCAACAATGTTCTAACCAAATCTGTACACCAGGTCCCAAAACAAATTATAGTGCCAAATATCCTTTTGTAACAAAATATTTAATGGATGTTAAGAAAACTGGGCATTTGAATCCCCCATCCTATGCCTATGCAAACTTTCCATAAGGGACACTAAAGTCTCTTAATTTCTCTCTTACTTGTTTATTTATCAATCTGTTGGTTCCACATGCTAGGAAGTCAGATGTTGATAGTGGAGTAATGAAAACTAGATAACTATTACTAGCATGACCAGTTGGTGGTGATTAGCAGTGATCTCAAGGCAAGCTGGTCAGTGTAGCCAATAAGACCAGGAGTACTTAATCTATGGAGTTCATGGTGAGTTCTGATGGATCCTCTCCCCATAAAGAAGGCAGGCAAGAATTTGAAATGTAGGCCCATGGGTGGTTGGGTCCACACTATGAGTAGACTGAGAAAACTGGAGCGGTGAGAATGAACATGCTTTCTGTTGCATAGTTTGTTTATCAGCAGTGTGTATAGGAACTAATAACTTCCTGAGAAAGGTGAGTCATCTATTAGGAACAAACAGCTGCGACTCTTCTCTGGGAAGGGTGAAGACTAGGAAGTTCATGGCAGAGTCTCTGGGGCCCAGTTGGGTACAGAGTTGAGGGTCTCACACCTGCATCTTTTACCTAATGCTGAGAGGGAAACAAAGGCTACATGCAGGACAGTTCCCCAAAACACGAAGTAAGGTACAAAGATCAAGCCAAGATGAGCAGAAGAGAGTAGATTCAGGTTGGGGGGATGTAATGTGTGAAATACAAAGTGGCGCAGATAGATGAATATTGAATCCCGCAAGGCAGAGCCAGGAGCTGGCCAAGGATTTATCTGTATGTCATTCCCACAGCCATATATGAGGTCTGAAAGGGAGTAATAAAAGACTTGCTGGAAAGCATCGTCATGAATTACAAGCAGAGCTCATTTGGGCTCCATCTGTAGTACTATATTGGGTAAATACACCAAACCCATCCCTCTCTTCTTTCTCTTTAAAGAAATCCTGTTTTTGTTTCAGTAACAATGTCCTGCTTCTAGGGTTGAATTCTGACTGGTATAGCCAATCACTGAATCCTTTTGCCTGTGATTGATGTAGAGACTAGCCAATGAGATCTAAGAGAAATCTGCAGAGAAGGCTTCTGGGAATGATTTTTCTTTCAAAAAAAAAAAAAATCAACTGCTGTAACTGGAAAGCTTATCTTCCCCTTCCCTCCTGAGGAGGTTGGGTTCAAGTGAGGAAGTGGCACTGGGAGAGAGGCAGCCATCTTGGAAGAAGGAAAGGCCAAGGGATGAACACAAATTTCAAACTGCGGCCCTCATATTAAAAACGTGCACAATCCTCCCTTGAATTGGAAGATGAGTACATGTTTGCATCATTTAAATACCTCCTAATCTGCTTTTCTGTAACTTTCAGGCAATAGCATCCTAACAGACAGAACTCATAATTTTCAAGTCTTTTCATAGTATGTTCTGCAACCAACAATGTCCGGTGACCAACTGAATTTCATAAAGGTCGTATTATATGCGCCTCTTTGGATTTCACCTTTGAACATTAAACTTCCAAGAAGCCAAGCCATTACAGTTTCTTTAAGTTGTATTCAACTTGGTATTTTATGAAATTTATTAATCTTAGAATTTTTCATATACGTCTTAATTTTATACAGAACAAGCGCTTCACAGTCAATATTTTAAAATCATTAAGATTTGTGAGAAAAATAAAGACTGGAATGAACAAATGCTTTTTGTTGTTGTTGTTTTGGTACCAGGGATCAAACTAAGGTCTTTGCACTTGCAAGGCAGGCGGTGGCACCACTGAGCTAAATCCCCAGCCATGGAATGAGCAGATTCTGGATATGGTGATTCCTGCACAGTCTCCGTGTGCACAAAAGGAAAGGGGCAACTTTGTCTCTCTACATCTGCTCTATCCAGGAGGCCAAGAACAGAGAATGCATTTCCCTGGTACCCACTTGTATCAGTAAATTCTGACAATATACCCAGGCACGCAAATGAAGAAGTATGAGCAATACCACCACAGCAATTTCCACTCATCCTGTATGGCAAAAATTGCAAAGCATTCATTTAAAACATGTTTTAAGTGTGGCTGAAAAACACCCTTAAATGATACTGGTGACTCAATAGAAATCATTTTACTTCCACCCTTCTAAGAAAAAAAAAATGAGATTAAGGAATGCACATTTCATTGAGATGCCTGGGTATTAGCAGTTCAGTTTCAGACTTCTTGTGGAAAACCTAAATCATGAAGTGCCTCCCACACACGCACACATACAAATCACCTTAAAGGAGTTTTCCTTGGAGATGGCAGAGGGCTGAACATATACAGCAGAGACAGGAGAGAAGCGAGGAAAGGAGATAGGAAGGGAACAGCAAAGGGGGAGAAAGAAGAAAACATCCACAAACAGATGTCAAAGAGAAGCATCCTGCAATAAAAATGACATTAGGGTCTTCCAGCGTGGTGTGGAACCCAATGAGAAGAGAAAACTTCACTGTATTCCCTTTGGTACCATTGAAATGGAACCACATAAACCTGTGTTTTGTCCATTGAAATGTGTTATCATCTATCGTCCAAAACATAAATTAGTTGCAAATGCAAAAACAATGACTACTGCAGCAATAACAAATAAAGCAAAAGCCCGTGATGTTAGAGGTGGTATTATAGGGGCTACAGAAGCCACACCAGGAGCTTAAGGAATGAGGCTGTTGAGCATATTCAACAGAGAGGAAGTCTCCACTGTTGCTAGGCCACACCCTATGGACACTGTTCTCATGAATGACAAGTAACCCTTCAAATGGCAAACAACCACTTCATCAACATCGGCACTGTTCACTTACTAGGCAAGTGCTCGTTGCAACTGAGATTTCAAAATTATCTTAATTCTCGGGAATTTATTAGGCACTTGTGGAGACAAAAAGCACATACTCCTCTTTAGCTAGCACTGACCTAGTTCTGGCCATCATCCCCCTCCAGATTTCTGAGGAGAAATCAGAAGTTGCAATACATTATTTACTAGGATGAGCCAGTAATTCAGACTGCAGGGGAAAAGCAATCAGAGAGCTCAGAAAAGCTTAAAACATCTTGAAGGCTGTTTCATGAAGGGGTCGGAACCAATGTTGGCACAGGTGTTTAGGAGTGCAGTGGATAGAGATGAAAGGTTAATAGAGCGGGCCATGCTGGGACATAAAATACTTATGCATAAAAGGAAAAGAAACCTCAACTCACAATCTAAGCTTCATACAACTGGATTCCGTTGTTTGTTTTATATAAGGACTTAACAAACCAGATGCCAATAACAACTGCAAAATAGAAAGAACACTACAAATTATTACCATCTTGAGACTGCTGCTAAGCAGATGCTTTGAAATGTAACAAGGCAGCGTACAAGGACAATGGACCCGTGTAATAAATTATTCTTAGGATGTACCTTAGAGACCAGTGGTCCCCCAACTCCAAACCTCACTGCTGAGATTTTTAAAAACAGCAGATTTTTCTTACTTTCATAACAGTTGAGAAACGTGAATATAAGTTACATCAGCCGGTAAAATGTGTAAAGTTCCATCAGTGACATTAAAGATACATTGATGTTGCATGCAAACTCCCCCAGCCCAAAACATAAATATATTTACAATAACCAAATGGACAGGGGATGCTGTACTGAGGAATTCTGATATTTCTTAAAATGCTGGGCTCATGCCAGAAGGATGTCCACTGAGATGCCATGAAATGCAGAACAATGTCACCAACTCCACTCACTTGTGAGCAAACCACTTCTCCACACCTAGGGAGCACTTTTTATATCCACTACACCTGGTAATGGGCCAGCTGCTTCTTCCATGCACATACCGAGGTGTCACTAAAATCAAAAGGTCCATGGATGTTTTGAACTCTTGGGGAAAATGCCCTTGGCACGGGTGGTACTCCTTCACCTCAACCCACACTAAAAGTGCATTTTAGCCACTCAGCAAGAGGCTGGTATTCACATTTTGAAGGCAGCAAGGTATCCTTTTGACCTTTGTTAGTACCTAAACCTCATGTCGTATGCGGTCAAAGTACAATGATATCAAACAAATTCCAGAAGAGAAGTATTTATTGCTGAATCTAAATCAAAAAATCCATATCTGCTGTAATGGCACTTCAAAAGAAGATATACTGTATTTACCAGCTCAATCAATACTAAATTAGCTGGGATAAATATTTTCAACCCTACCAGTCTTAAGATGAAGCCCGTTATTTAGAACCTGTGTCCTGGGAGAAACAAGGAAAAGTTTTGCTTATCACACAGAAATGAGATCTAGGAAGCACTCTACAAGCAGGTGCACCTACCCTTAGCTGCTCTCTTTCACAATTCATCTGTTGCCTTGAAACCTAAAAAGAAAAGAAAAAAAAAATGGGGAAAGTCAGCAAGCTCTGCATCAAAAAAAAAAAAAAAAAA